TAACTGTTTGCTCGTGATACGCATAGAAATGTTACTGATATAATACATTGTAAAATACATTTTTTGCAGAACATGAAATGTTTAATCTGTATCTGATCTTGACTGTTCTTTTTGAAGAAAACGTGTTGTGTACTGGATTAACCTACATTCTATAGATTTTATAGATACATATGTTACTGAAAGCTTTATTAAAAAAGAAATAAATGAAATAACAGACTGTAGCTATACGAAAGTTATGCGATTTTCCTCGCCCTTATTTTAGTTTCTATTTGTGAAAAATTGTGCATAGTATTAATGAAATTTGTTTACTCTTACTTCTGGTTCATTTACAGAACATGAACCCAGTTCTTTGCGCTAGTTCTTTTTCTTAAGTTTGCTATCGGTAACAAAAACCTCGAATGATAAAGTCATCATATTTGCTGTCAATTATTCTTTAAACTTATTTTGGTGTATTCAAATAGTTTATTTTCGAATTGTTTGATTTTTGACGCAGAGACTCCAAGAGAAGATCAAGGCTGGTTTCCATATGATCACTATCGAACTACAATCGCTGCCATCATTGTGATCACTACAAAAATAGTTACCGGATTGTGGAGATAGAACTAATATCTATCTCAGTGATCGTTGTCGGTGCAACGATCACTATAATCTCTGGGTGTGACTGTTTCGGTAGCGATCATATGGAAACCAGCCATCACCAACCGATACTTCCCCCTTCGATTTATGGCCCGACTAAGCGCGAAGTCCGCTTGCCATAAGCTTAAGTCGAAGGAAATAAAAAGAGGATCCGTAACTTGCAACACAGACCGAGAAGATGAAAGGAGTCAATTGCATAACGTTGCTAAGTCGTTATTACGGGTTAATACATGACGTCAAAATTTTAGGAAAAGGAAAGTTTACTAGGTCTATTTGATGTGAATGTTAACAAAACTTGGTGATAAATCACGTGACATTTTGGCGGCAAGAGCAGTTTCATATTTCAGCGGCCACGACTGCTCAATTGACCAATCACAGTG